CATCCATGAATACAGAGTAATCCTTTTCTTTTTCCTATTTGGCGACATTTACAGTTTAAATTTGCTTTTAGATCATTGAATGTGACTTAAAGCTCAAGGATCTTCACTTGGATGGTTCCAGGCATGGGATTTTCGTTCTACATTTTAATTCCTTGTACACGACCAACACATGAAATTCGGACACAAGTGCATCAAATTTAAATGTAGCCTCGTGAATACTCGGCCCTCATTTGAAACTGATTTTTCTAAATTACTTTTTTTCCCCGCCCATTTTCATACTCGTATATATATATCAAAAACATGGGGCGAGATCTTATGACCATGGACATGTTTCATCCAGTTAGTTATTATCTATATAAACAAATTGTTACTACTTTCAGTAGCTACAATTTTGTTACATAAATCAGCAAGTGAAGCTAATGCCAGGCAGGCACTACTATGAAGATGATCCATACTTCAGTTAAGCAACTTTAAGAAATTGTTATATTAGTCGATAATCTTTTGGAGATGAAAGTTACTTTTACAAGATATTTGCTTTGAAATCAATTATTACAATTATATTGTGTAAAATTTATTTTTAAAATTGACAAAGACCGAGTAATCAAAGTTAAGGTTTAACATGCAACATGGGACGTAATCACCATTTTTCTCAATCTACTTTTTAGTAAGCTACTCTACGTTTAGAATAAGTAATACACAAACATATTTGGAGTAAAACTGTCATGCTTATGCTTAGACCATCATTTTCAGACACGAAAGCGATTAAGAAATTTGACTTATGACATGTAGGTCTAGCTGATAGGCTTCCGATCGGTCTTTGTCTAATGGCATGATGACTCCCTCAAATTCTACAACTCTGCTAAGGGAGGAATCTTCCCTTATTGCACAAGAATCCTTCAACAGGGCTATGAATTGCATCAAAAAGTTCACCCAAAATGCTTAAATGACAAAGAAAAGGCGGAGGATTCTTACCCGTCATACTCCATCTTGATAAGAGGATGTATCCAATTTACATACTTTTTTCTTTTGGAAAAAGAGACTTCTCCTTCACAGGTGTTATACTGAAGCTGATTTGGCAACATTTGCTTGATTCTCTCTCATTTTTCTTTTTCTTTTTTTGGAACTTCCAATAAATTGATGTCAACTGTAATCCGTGAAGGAATCCTGTGAACCAATTCTGCATATTATTTCACTGGATATGGTCTAAAGTTTTGATTTGTTGAACTTCCAATAATTTATACTGACAATATTCAATTAGGAAACCAATGAAAAAATTTGATGTAACTGAATTTAAATGATTAACTTTTGTTATTGTAGTTTTTAATCGATGCGTATTGAACCAGTAATCACTAAGCACATAGTTGATTAATCAGGAAAAAAAAATGATAATACATTCGGATTGTATTGAAATAACTATGGAATTTTGAAAATAATTCAGAATACATTTGGAAGAAACCCTACTGTATGGAATAATTATCGCCACCGCGATTCTGCCATGAATTATCTGCCGGATCATGATGCAAAACGTCGCCTCTGCGGATCTGGTTCTCAATTAGGAACTCGAAAAGTTCAACGATTTCTACGTCGACAAAGGGGAAGAATTCATCAACGACTTCCGGGTTTTTCTTTGTTAATTCGTGTATGATTATGTCTATACATGAAATAAACAATTATTGGTGATGTAGATTGATTTAAGATTAGTGTGATTTTGTTGGTTCAAATTTTTAATTTTGTACAGGCTTGAAAACAGGCATTAAGCAATTGTTGATTTGAATTTAAACTAGGGGTTTAATGTTTATGTATAAGCTATGAAATGGGAAATTTTGAAAATCATGAATTGAGCTTCTGAGTAAATAAATAATAGGATTCATGAGGGGATGAGATAATTTGTGGCTGATGTCAAAGTGAGAAATTGATGTGCAAGTTGTAACATGTAAATGATTATTTTTCTATTGGATTTTTTGGAAATGAGGTTTAGGATTTGGCTTCTTTTAATTCTAAAATATATTCTTCATTTTTTGGAGAAAGGGGGCCGGGACGGGGATGGGTATAGAGGATATTTCGACTAGTGTAGCTGAAATTACGTTGGATACTTCCCTTTATCAACGCAGAAACCGTCGAACTTTTCTGAGTGTTAAGTCGTGTTCGGTTGATAGCCGACGGAAATAATCAAAGAATTGTACCTGCAAGATGAATTGTAATTTGAGCACGAAAGTTGATTAAGGCATACTAACAACGATTAAAAAAAAATAGCACTCGTGCTCGTGAAATAATGGAGACATAGGAATCCTACTGTGAATTTGAGATACGATAAGATGAGGAGACTGTGGAGGAGTCATTTTGCTCTAAAACCGATGTTGACAGTGAAGGGAGGAAGATGACATGAAATAGAAAAACAAAATTTAAGTGGATACTTATTTTGGTGTAGTTGGATGGTTTAAAAGAATCTCTTAGGCATATTCCAATTTGTCATGGTATTTGTTTATTTCATATGATTTGGAAATTGCTGAGTGCAGCACGTCGATAAATGAGCTTGGAAATGGTCTTTGTTTTTATAAGAATCTCTGAGGTATATTCGTATTAGTTAGTTGATAATATATTTGCCGTATGATTACATATCTTTAGATCTATAAAGTACGGGTTTCTCTCAGATCTAGCAAGATCATCGTGTAAGCTATGATACGTTATAGAAGAAAATGATTGGATTGATCATGGGCCCAATTTAACATTCAAACCCTCATGCATTGTATGGAAACATGGACCGCTATACTCGATAGTATTAAAGGAGATAAGCAAGTTAAAATATTTCCTTTTGTATTGTGTAGTGTTACTATGTGCTAAACATGTGGCTGAGGTTTTACTTTTTAGGGACAAAACTATACAGCGCATCAAGATTCATCTGTCTTTCAATTTGTATTTAATTCTGTTGGATTCGTAGTTGTGGAATTATTTTGCTTCATGTTCATCTAGTTGTGTATCAGTAGTAATGAATGTGCAGATAGTATTAAAGACTTAATTAGATTGAAGTTCATTTTGGCTAAAATGTACCAATACGGCATGTGTTAATTGCCAGCTGCTGTTGTTTTTTAGTGCCAAGACCCAATAGAGAATTGAATTAGTGAAGGAGAGGAGCAGTGAAGATGGAGTGTTTACCTCAGAGACTGAATTTAGCGGGAGACAATGGAAGAGGTGTCAACTGGGCCGTGCTGCTGCCCGTGTCAGGCCTACATGCTATTGTTGGGTTGTGTGCCCATATAGTATAGTTTTGGTGATGTAAAAAATAACAATATTTTTATTGAATAAAATTATGTTTAATTTATTTTTTGCATTTATTTATTATTGAGCATACGAAGTTAAAGTGCCTATGATCACTTGTGATAATATGAGTTGAGTACTTGCGTTGAGAAGTACAGTGTGACACAATTTATATTTTGATCATAAATAATTTGTTCACAATCTACGTATAAGGGTTGGCACCTTATATTGGAAGGTTGTAGTGTTGACCAATTCACTATTCGGGTTTGTGATTTGTCCTTATCACAGAAATAGTAAAAGGTGACACTAGTACACTTGGAATGTATTGAACGGACCACGTGTTGAATTTAATTCTATAGCATGACCGTGCGGAGAATTAAATTTCACTAGACCGCTGTGTATTTCATCTAAATCCCTTGACAGGATTATGTATATCTTTTCGTAATTTTAATTGTTCTTTGATTCATCAATGGGTGAGATCAATTTGATTGGTCAAATATCTCGATGAGTTGGGAACTTGAGAATAAGCGGAGTAGAGAACATGAATTCGTGTCGAGAACCGTTGCCCAGATGGGTAGAGTGACTACTTAAGTATTTTCTGTTGAACGGTTAAAATCTGAGCTCAGTGTTTAGCAACGGCTAAACTTCGACATCTGTGATTAGTTCACATGAACGTTGAAGAAAATGAAATTTAAGTTAGTGAGAATAATTAGAGGGGCAAAACGGTCATTTATGCTCGTACCTAACTATCGGATCTCGAACGGGGATAAAATACATATACAGCAGGTTAGAGGAAAGTATTACAGATTTAATGGCTTCCGTGATCTTATATATTCCAAGAATTCAGTCTTTTGCCTTTAGTGGAAAAAGCAAAGATTAATAATTAGATTGGGTGGTCTAGGGTCGACTAGACATGATCTAATTATTGGAGCTTGGATAATATATGTCCGATCAGGTCCCTGTGGTAGCTCCATAAAGTATTGGAACTTAATTACGGTAATTATAATAGTTTTGAGCTTAATTATAATTACAATAAAGTTTTGTACTTAATTGTAATTACTATGAAAGTTATAAACTTAATTGTAATTGTAATTGAAGTTCTAGGACTACACATATAATTAATGTAAACTAATTGGAATTGGACTTAAATTAGAACTCCTCTTGAGTTTTAATTAGGAATCCTATTTGAATGTGGAATTATAATTGTACCAGGATTGTATCATCTTTTTCTCTATAAATAGAGACTAGATGAATAAAAAAAGACTACAACAATTATAATTCCATAGAATTCAAATTTAGAGAGAGAAATATTTTATTTCTTGATTTCCAATTTCAAGAATTAGTTTCTTGATTAATTAAAAGAAGGTGCCCACATGCCGGTTTAGTTTTTTCGTTGGAGAATACCATAGAAGGCTTGAAGGTTTGAAGCACCAAGATTCTTGCAATTGAAAGAGACGGAAGTTCGTGGTTCAGAATCAATTCAAAGGTGGATCATCGAATTTGGGTAAAATATTCAAATCCTTTAATTCTTGTTATAACATACACGTGAACATCTAAACGATCTTGTTTTTGAATTAAAGAAATTTTAATTTCTGATTAATTCTGCTTCCGCATTCCAACAGCTATCACCCTTTATCTGCTTAGGTTTCCTTTATTCTTTGATGCCAGCCTGTCAGGCCGCGGATCCACACAGCCAGGCACTGTCATGGCCAGTGCCTGGGCCAGCTTTTGCCATGCTGCTCTGCTTGGGCCATTGTTGGAACACAAGATCGAGTGTTTGAATTGAGAGACAAGACGACGGACATAGGAAAGTCTTTTGTTGCCCTTCACGATTCATGGGGTCGCATTCTTCTGGAAAAGCTAAGAAGCCGATTTCTCGAGATCAGTCTTTTTTTTTATCGATAAAAGTGTATATATTGATCAAAACCATGTACAAGTACACCAGGTATACCCGGACAAATCATCCAAAATAGATATACAAATACATTTGGGCATTCTCGGGCAAAAGAAAATGAAAATGACCTACAGATCGTACGCAAGAGACTCAAATTGAATCAAAACATTCGAATACAAAGAAAACATAACTTTGTATATATGTGTTTTGATCCGTCGAACAAGACAATCAACACTGGGATTGAGGTTCTCAAAAATCAACCTATTTCTACCCATCCAAATGTGATAGAGGGTAGTCAAAAGTGCAATACATTTCACCTTACTGTGTCAAGTAGTCTCCCGAGCCTCTTTTTAATCCTTTTCAGCGCACTCTAAAGTGTAGACATAGATCGTCGAAGACTCACCCAAATGCGAATTTTATCCCAAACAGCCTTGCTAAAGGAGCATGCAAAGAATATGTGCGAAGAGGACTCATTCGCAAGTGAACACAAGCTACACCTTTGGTCAATCTGTAGAAAGTGTAGTCTATCTTTTGTCAATAGCTTGTTGTTGATAGCTAACCATGTAATAAATGCATGCTTTGGTGTGACAAATGAGTTCCAAATTGTATTAGCCCTGATAACCTTTACTCCCTTCGGCCTAAAATATTCATATGCTTGGGAGACATTGAATCTACCATTAGTAGCTCAGCTGGATAGCAAGCTTGCAGCCAATAATTCAGCATTTCCAGCCAAAAATACATCATTTCCTGCAGCATAGTCAATGTTTCCAGAACCAATATGAGCATTCCCAGCACGAGAATTTTCATTCCCAACGAAATATTAATTTCAGCATGTCCAGCAGGATATACAGCGTTAACAGCAGGAAAAACAGGCACAAATAACATTATTTCCAGCACATAAAGAGGCAATTCCAGCACCAAAATTATCATTTCCAGCACTGGAGTAAACATTTTCAGCAACATAAGCAGCATTTCCAGTGCATGTGATTGAGTCCCTAATCTGCACCAGCTTCTTGATAAGAGGGGAATCATCTTTCCTCACCGAATATGCCCATATGTTACTCCCGCGAAGTTACACCTGATTTACCCATTTAATCCACAGGGTGTCCTTTTTACAATGGATGTTCCAAAGTGTTTTGGAAATCCATGCTGAATTCCATGCTTTAATATCCCTCAGACCAAGAACACCTTCACCTTTCGATAAGCAAATATTTCTCCAGGTAACTAAAGGTTTTTTGGAACCCCAAAGAAAATTCTGACACAGGGATATAATTTTAGAAGCAACGGTAGATGGAATGGGGAAGATGGAAAGCCAAAAGCATTCAACTCCTTGAATCACGGCTTTAACAAGCTCCAATTTCCCCGCATAAGAAAGTGATACCCTAGACCAAGCACCTATATGAGCTGTAATTTTGTCAAGAAATGTATCATATGTGCTGATTTTAAGCCTTTCCGTCGCAAGAGGGATACCCAAATAGCGAAAAGGCATAGATCCTTTCGGGATCTTAACAATACCATGAATCATCTCCATGTCTTCCGCATGAACCCCCACTATATACAAGTTGGACTCGTCAATATTCATTCGAAGCCCCAACATATTACCAAAATTAGTAAGACAATCCATCAAAATAGAAACCGTAGTATCACCCTTAGCAAAGAGCATCAAGTCATCCGCAAAAGCTAAGTGTGTGATCTTAAGGAGAGCACATTTTGGATGGAAATTAAACTCATTATTCTCGGTAGCACCCTTTACCATTCTAGAAAAATATTCTAGGCACAATACAAAAAGAAAAGGGTATAAAGGATCACCTTGACGAAGTCCTTTTCTTCCTTTAAAGAGACCATGAAGGCCACCATTTAAAGAGATAAAGTATGCAGGTGTTGACAGACATTCCATAATCCAATCCATGAATTTAGTAGGGAAATTCAATCCCCCAAGCATATTTTTAAGAAAATCCCAACTAACCGAGTCATATGCCTTCTTCAAATCAATTTTAAGGAGACATCTTGGTGTAACTCTCTTGCGATTGTATTGCCTCAAAAGCTCTTGAGCAAGTTGAATGTTTTCCACCATACTTCTCCCTTTGACAAAAGCGACCCATGCATGATCAATAATAGATCCAAGCGTAGACCCCAAAGCAAGTATGTTAGAGATAACTTTGTAGATAACATTGCAACAAGCAATCGGTCTATAGTCACCCACCAAAGAAGCATGGTTCGCCTTAGGAATCAGAGCAATAACAGTGTGATTCATTTGCTTAAGAAGAGATCCAGAAGCAAAAAATTCCAGAATAACATCACTAAAATCATCACCAACAATATCCCAAGATTCTTTGAAAAAACATGAACTATATCCATCCGGGCCGGGGGACTTTTCATCTCCAATGCTAAAAAGAGCATCTTTAATTTCTAGTCTTGAAACATTCCTAATGAGTGAAGTGGAATGCTCGGAAGGGAAGGTGGCCCTGAAATCCAAAATTCCAGCCCGAAAAGGCTGGCAAATGCTATCTTTTTCCAGCAAGTCAGCAAACACATGAATGAATTCATCAGCGACCTCCTTTTGTGACGAAGTATATGATCCATCCCTTTTAAGAACAGCTGCTATGAAGTTTCTCTTAGTGTTTCTCTTAACAATGGAGTGAAAAAACTTGGTGCATTTATCACTATATTTCAAGTAAGTATACTTAGCTTGTTGGAAGTAGAAACTTCGCTCTGCCTCACTAAGATTCATAGTTTCTTTCCTCAATCTAGGAACCTCCGTCTGTAAATGTGAGTTCAAGGGATCATCGTGTAGAATCAACTGTGAATCAGCCAAAACTTCCTGGCAACCTCAGCTCTAGTAGAAATCTGTCCAAAGTGTTTATCATTACGCTCCTTAAGCACACCTTTAAGACGTTGAAGTTTTTTACAAAGAGAGAATTGCTTAGTACCCCGGATGTATAGATTCCAAGCACTAAGCACCAGTTGATGGAAGTTCTCATGCTTAGTCCATTGCTCTGTCAAGTTTAGACCAAACCGAATTATTGGTCCAAGTAAAGAACCATCCAATTGATCTTAAATCCGTAAGGCCCACTTCATGGCAACAATTGGCAAAATTCCGAATCTCACACAGAGTGACAACCAGGCCACTACTTTTCTCATCAAAATGAAGAACATTATTGAAGTCTCCCAAAATTAACCAAGGTAAAGAACAATCCACCCCAAATTTCACAAGATTTTCCCATAATGGTCTACAACTTACAATCATATGAAGACTATAGACAAAGCTAATACAAAATATTTGTGATGTTATCTTGAAAGTAATGGAGCAATGGATGACTTGAGATGTAGTCTCCAACACTTCCAAGTTAACCTTGGAAGTGTTCCATAGAACCAAGATACGCCCAGCACGGTGGAGAGGGAAGTTGTTAATCTGCAAAAAATTCCTGACTTATTCCGCATGATACGGTCAATCTTTGATACCACCAACTTTGTTTCCAAAATTCCCATAACATCAATGTCGTGTTTCTTCAAAAAACTCCTAACACCATTTTGTTTAAGGGGGTGTTGAGACCCCTAATGTTCCATGATCCAATCTTCATGATGAAGAAGGAAGGGAATGAACCTTCTTCTTGTTCTTATCAATGAATAAATTACATTTCTCATCTGTCTTTCCTTTGTGCTTCTCATTTGTTTTATCCAAACAAATAACTTTGCCATCCACATTCTTAGAACTCGGACAATGCAAAGTAGTAGTATCTCCCTCCTTAGAAGAACGATTTTGCACATTTTCTGAAGAATGTTAAGATTCTGTCCAGCAGAGGGCTGCCCAGATTTTCCACCACCTTTTGGTACTTTAGTTGATGATTTATTTGCAATCTGTGCAGAAGATGTTTGGCCAGATTTACCACTCTTAAATCTACCAACAACCTGAGTAAACAGAACATCAACATGGACCTCATGTTGTCCTGTGCTGACACCAACTGTTCGGAGGAAACCCCAGCATCCAAAGCAGCCTGAACTGGGGGATCAACCACATTGTGTCCAGTTACCACCACTTTACCTTGGTTATTTTTCACAACCACTTTCTGACCGAGTGTAGCGCCATGTTTGTTGGTATTACAAGCTTTGGTAGTATGACCCAACATCTTGCAGTTAGCACAAAATTTGGGCTCATGTTCATACTCAACCACCTGCACTCTAAGTTTGCCAGTTGGAAGATACATGGAAACAGTTTGAACCAGTTCCTTTGACGCATCAATCTCCACCAAAGCACGTGTATACGACAAGCTCCCCTTCGTAGCAGTGAGTTTCAAAGGGCTTTCATGTGGTGCTCTCTCTTGTATTGTTTTGTGGGAAAATTCTGCCTATTTCATTTACTCATGTTAAAATTTCAAAGAAATATGATAACTTGACTTAGGGATTGTTGTTTCTACCTTTTACAGGGCTCGCTGTCCATCTGCCATTCTTCAAGATTGAAACTCCCACAAAAGATAAGTTCATAAATGGGAAGCAAATCTTGGGTTACTACATTGTCATACTGCCCAAATTCAGACAAGCGCAATATATGCTGACGTTCATCTCGGAAGACAACCTTGTTGCAGGAATCTACAGTTTTCATACCCAGAGCGCCCTTGCTGCAATGGAAACCCTACTGGGCATTCAGGCAAGTTCTACCATGAAAGTGATGAATACTGATTAATATAGCTTAGAGATGAAATTTTGCTGTTGCTCGTCCCCAATTGAAGTGTATCTTTTTGGTTGCACATTGATCCCGTCTTTTTGAATGATTTGTTCACGACTCTAGAAGCAGAATGTTCAGCAAGTAAAACGCAAGACAGTAGCATTATTTCGAGTATTGAGGTATTCATTAATCAATGATATCATACAAAAAGAATTGGAATCACTATTTCTGGATGATCATTTCACAATCTCCACCAAGCCTTGACACCACCCATTTTATAAAAATTCTGCTCGTAATTGAATTCATTCTAATCGTTGAAAATAAAATTTAAATAAGTAAACACGTCTCTAAATTATCAACATTTTAAGGACATAATTCTATCAATTACACACGTGAAGAAAGAATAGTATCCCTTGTGATATACAGATCTTTGCATTTGTTCGTACATTTATCACTCTCGTACAAGAAAGCAAAAAATAAATAAAATCTGTATCTTTCTATGCTATTGGCACCCAAAAACATTTTGTTACACAATTTTGTCATCGTCATCGTAGTTAAATGGCAAGGGTACCGACTTAAATGCCCGGTACTTTCCAACGTTGTTCAAGTGTTCATTCTCCAACCTGCCCAATGAAACAAAGTAGGCATTACCATCACCATCAGAAAGAACCAAATCAAGCGATAAATGTTAAATCAGAGTCTATCAGTATTAGTACCCAATATTAAATAAGACTCGAAAATATATTAAACAAGGTCTTTTCTTCTAACTATTGATAGACAATATGAATAAGTAGGCTAAAATACTAATTCATGTCTTGATTATTAGTTCATGCCTATTTCTTGTCCTTTTTCCAGTAGTATGTCCAAAAGCAGACATTGAGTTGTCCGAAAGAACTGCTTTAGATCTTCTAGTAGATGTAGCACTGAATTGAATGGAGTGAGAAAAAAAGATTTATGCAGCTGACTCCGAAAAAGTTCAATTTATTGATGTAATCAGAAAAATTCGAGAATGCACGAAACCTGAAAAAGTTCCAAATTCCGCGGCGAAGTATCTCGAGGCAGGCAACAACTGCAATCATGGCTCTCCTATGGAGAAATGGTGCCTCATTAAAATCCAGAACTAACTGCATCCATACCAGTCTCAGGAGGATGTTAAACACCTGCAATTCAATTAAAACAAGGATTTATTGCTAAACACGACTAGACGGTACAACAAACAACATTATAGCTAGCTTTTCTTCGAGTATTGTCCAATCCTCCCTACCAAACACGTCATTAGTCTATCAAAAAAAATAAATGTTAAATGTTTGATGAAAGAAATGGTGAAACTCACTATGGCTACAAAGTACACAGCCTTGTTTGACACCAGAAGTTTATCTCTCAGCCATGGATTTTTTGCATTCCTTTGCAAAAGTCCCCAATCAATAACAATATCCCAGTATGTGCTGAAAATTGTCGTAACTCCTGAACTAGATGCAGCCATGATTTTCCAAAACATTCCTTTCTTTAAATCATATACTGTCCTCATCACAAGTGCCACGATTGTTGATAAGTATTTAAGGCCATTAAATCCCTGCATTGGATCTTTCTCCTCGATCGACCGGCGTAGGCACTGAGAATTTATTAAAGAAAGCAAAGATAAATACGATCTCAATTCCATTTACTAACGGAGATAGAGATTGCCTAAGTTGAAATAAATGTGGAAGTTCGGTGATAACTTGAAATCGAAAAAAGTTCAATGATTAAAGTTTGGTGCGAGATTCAACACGTTTACTTGAAGAAAGCGTGACCAGAATGGAATAACTGCGACAACAATGAGAAAAGAATTATAAACGTCGCTGTCGGGGCAGTTGTTTGATCTCTCTTTGAAGTTACCCCATCCATAGTAACAGATGTAGAATTGCAAACTCCTGAAGGCCTGAACCTATAATGCAGAAGCACAGGATATTAATGCACAAGTCAATTAAAGGCTGAAGGAAAGCATAATTTGCAAACTCAACTCCGTTTATATTTTTCATAGCTGGTTGCCAGCCCAGGAAAAAGAGGAGGGTGTTAGGTTGATTGCTAACATAAAACTTCGTCATATCTTGCAATATGATTCCTAATATAATTTCGTTGATTGGGTAGCAAAACCAAATTTATTAGTTTGTTGTTTGCTGTTGAATCATTTGTTAATTTGAAATACAATGCCGAAAAGAGAACTGACACATTTATGAACCCTGTTGTTATTCTGTAATAATAAGCATTATATCATACCTGGCTCGTAAGCTGATCTGCCAAGAAGAAATCAGGGAGAGTAACCTAAAAAGGCAACCAGAAGACAAATGATAATGAGGTAATGCTTTCACTTTATGCGTATGTTTTGCATATGGTACTGGATAGGATAGTGGACAACATTTCAGCTTCTTTTCTTCTTTAGTATTTTCTAATAACGTACAATACACCACACCAAACAAGTCATATACATTTTCTGCAGTTATGCAATCTTTATACCTTATAAAGAGGTGCACAAAGGCAATGCCAAGCGCATCGGATGAGGAAGAAGCGACTAGAACGATATATGATATTGAATGGACAAAATGTTATAAATAGCAGAACCTGCAGGGAAAAAGTTGTGTGAAAAAGACAGCAAAATTCCTCAGATATATAGAGTTATGTTGCATCATGTTGTTAAAGAAAAGGGACTGCAACTTACAGTGACTAGACCTAATGGAACCAATTCAGTCAATGTTTTGAAGCTTTTAGTTCTCGGGTCCATCTCCATGTCAAGGTTCGAGAGTACAGCAGCCAACGTGAGTACTGAAAGGCCGGAAGCTAGAAGAAAAACTTCTCTATATCCCAATTCTGTTCCTTGCTTGAATCCAAATATGAATGGATAGTTCACTCGGAAATGTCTCCACAAGTACGTGTTCCCTCCGTACATAAGCATGTGTAGGACAATGAATCCAAATAAGCTACAAATATGAAACTTAATTATGTATAATACTTGTTTAAAATAGTTGTTATTTTGAATCACGTGAAGTTGTTAATAGCTAAAATATACCTGTAAAGTGGAAATATATTGTCCATATACTGCCTACGTCCCTCGTGGTTAAGAAGATTTCTCCCGTGTATAGAGACAATAATAGCCACTACCAGTGCTATTGAGCAGCCAGTGAACAAACCTGCAGTGAGAAGAAGTTAGTCTAAATAATCACCTAGGACTACAAATTTATATTTCCTAGGTAGTTGAAAGAATAAAAGATTCTTTCTTCTTAAGCTTACCAAGGAAAAATGTTATCATGTGCCTCTCTTTCTTAACTTGCGTCTTCAAAGAGTTCATTCCTTTCCTTCGATTTCCATTCGAGAAGTGCTTAATAAATGTAGCCTCTAATTTTTCTATGAGTCTGTTAACCTAATGAAGCAGAAGATGAAAACATAAATGCAAACTGTAAGAATGTGTTCCGTTTGCAGGACTGTACAGTATAATCAACATGATTTTAGCTTCTTTTTCTTTCTTAATACCTTCCTATATGCATTCTACCTTATCAAACGAGCCAAAATAGTTTGTCAAACTTGAAAGGAAAAAATTTGGGTACAAACCTCATCAGAGCTACCAAGATAGGACTTATCAACCATCTCTAAGTAAGACTTGGAAGCTTTCCTGGAAGTTATCTGCACTTAAATGAGTTGAGAAGAGAGGAAAAAGAAGATATGGAGAGAAAATCTTTCGATTAAAAGGAACACACTATACCTTGTCATATTTCTTCAAAATCTTGGAGAATGCCAACATATTCAAGAAACTGAAACATTATGTAGCAGTTAGTACTATGTCACTTGTACTTCAATTTCAGTAAAATCTGAAGATTTTTATTTTTTTACCAATAGCTCTTCAGAAGTCGAAGCTTCCGGTAAAATTCAATGAAGGCCTGTCTCAACTTTTCTTCTGCTTTTCTTAGTTCATCCTTGCTGAATGATAGATCAGATTTTGAACTCATGATGACATTTTTCAGAGTCGAAACTGGGGTGTCTGGTTCCACATTGATCTTTACATGATCCAAAACTTGTAATGAAGGAGGCCTAAAACCATTTGAATCCTTTTTTTCTGTCTTCTTTTCATCTTCACAAGTCCCCATCTCAATTTCTTGAATTACATCCATATGCAATCCTCCTTAAAAGAAAGAAGAGTTTGAGAATGGAAAATGTTTGTTACGATACTGTATATCTAAAATTAATAAGCACCTAAAGCTATGCATTGTTTTTGTTCATTTTAAACAAGACTCAATTTCTATATATATCATCAACTGATTATGCTATCTCACTTCGAAAAATTTGAATATGAATTCTTGATGCCATTTAAACTCTCACTATGACTAATTTACACTATGATTGCCTTACCTTGCTTAGTTCCATTCACAGTTGCAATAACTGTTGCTGGGGATGAACCACTGGCGTCAGATGATGAAAACTTCATTTCTTGAGCATAATTTTGTGCTAGTGAAGGCTTATCAACTCGAATTCGAAGAGCAATAAGAGCATCCATTTGTTTGCTCAATTCCTTTGCCTCCATTTTCACTTCCTCCACTTTATTCTTGTAAAACTTAACCACTTTATTGAATTCATCATCAAGTCTCCTAAAGAAAACAAGTTCATATTCTCCACCTTCTTCTGAAGATCTCAAGAACATGGTTTGATAACAACTTTCTGAACCCTCTCCCTGGACTGCACTAACTAGTATAACTTCATCCTCATTCTTTCTTGGGGAATTCTTCCTAGGAGACCCTTTGAGGGTACTGTATCGACTCGTTAGCCCGCTAAAGGCTCTGTACATGGACACCCTTCTCTGCAGAGAGCGTGTTCTAGAAATTTCTTCAGAGGATGAAGCATTTTGCTGTCGAAATCTCAGGACATCTTTGAGCAATGTTTTGAGATAATTATAGTCCATGTATGCTTCCTGCCATTCTTGCACCATCTGGGATGCTAATTCCCTCCCAAACTTCATCTTTTTCTTATAAGCAAAAAAACAGATTTTCTTGAATGCTAATGCTCAGATCTCGCAGTATATCTAGCAGCGAACAGAACAAAGAAACATTTTCTTTCACTCTCAAGTTACTGATCAAAGTCAGAAATGGTATGAATTTTTGACACTTTGCCGACGGGTTTTTCAAATTGTGAAGTGTATCTCATTTTATTTTATGAGAGAGTCTTCTTCTTGTATAAAAATCTGTACTGGTATATGGTTATAATAATAAATTTGTCCATCGATTTTTGCTAGCTCAATCAAAGATAGGACCACTCTCTTAACTGTTTTGACTACCATTTGGGTCCCCCGTCCCGACAGACAAACCCATTGGTGAATGAATTTTTAATTATGGTTTTCAGAAAAGTATTTTTATTTATTTATTTGATCTTCAACCGTTGCCCTTCCTCCATTATTTTTGTTAAGCCAAATAATTACTGGCAGCGTATCATTTTTAGCAGATTTGAACAAAAAGAGATCCTTGAATTTTTATAACTAATTTGATACATTAAATTTGTACAATTAAATAATTTCTACCCATATTTATTTATTTATCTATATTTTAACGACTACGTTCAACTCACAAATTAGCATTGTTAAAGGCAACTTTCACGTTGAAATGACAATAAATGTATTTAATGATTGCCTGGTTGTCCTTATGAGATCCTTGAATTTTTATAAATAATTTGATACATTAAATTTTTACAATTAAATGATTTCTACCCATATTTATTTATTTATCTATATTTTAACGACTACATTCAATTCACAAATTAGTATTGTTAAAGGGTAACTTTCACGTTGAAATGACAATAAATGTATTTAATGATTGTCCTTTCTAGACCTATTCCCATCTTTCTCATCTCCAACTAATTTTTTTTTTTTTTTAATTCATATTCCATCCTTAGGTAGCCTAATCTATTAAAATAAGATCAAAATGTCAATATTAGTAGACCAAATTAAACGACGATACAATGATTAGAATATTGTTATCCTACAAACCAAACATATATTGTATTAGTACATTCCGAGGAGACTTGGTATGTGCCAGTAACAATTACGGAACTCTAATAACATGGCTCGTTCTTGTAACGCATAATATATATTTAACTATCGTTTCGATTTTTTTGTTGTTATGTTGAACGGAAATGGTCTAGTCGAGACGTGAAAGCGCGTTTCGGTAATTTGACTGCATTGGCAACTCCAAAACGGCAGGTGATTGGAATTGGAATATGAAAGTGTAATGGCATAATAAACTCCTTGATTGACGGACGACAGATTAAAGGTTAATGTTTAATTGGATTTTGCTGACAAGGAGTTTACTCCTCGTAGTAGTGACTCCAAATTTTCGTGTATTTAGTAAGTGAAATTATCGTGTTCAAATTTAATTATGTAATCATTCGGGTTCGGTTCCATTCCATTCGGTTCGGTTTTTAGGCTCCGTATTATAATTAAATTTTTTAATATTTATAAAACTACATTAATTCAACTAACGATGTGTTCAATCTTAACTCCTATAAAATAATATAGCCTAATTTTATGTGTCTTTTGTGTCTCTTTTTACCAAGTTCTTCATAGATTTGATTGTTAAAATCATAGGAAATGGAAAATAGCAACTCACAAAAATTAAGAGAACGTTGTCAAATTTCAATTCGATTTCTCCAGAAGGGTAGAAATGATACTATGGTGGAATAACAAATTTGGATAAAACTTATGTCAATTTGATTAAATTAGCTTTAAACTGAAAATTAGAAATAGAAAATTCATATTTTTTGGTTTGAGCTAAGTTAGCAAATTTAATTAGAAAAATAAAAATTATTTGACTTATTTAAAATAAATCTATAATATATTAAAAGTGAGGAGAGTGGAAACTTTTAAATTCCAATTTGCCCCTACATATTTAACTATATGCCCACTATACCCTCATAATTGGAATACTAATTTAATTAGTATTTGTCATTTGCTTTAGAATTAATATAATATAAGGAGTGAAATATTTAATTGATATTTATCATTCTGGATTGGAATTAATATAAGGAGTGAAACTAGAATTAAATTATATCAAAAAACAAAAACAAAACAAAATCAGTGAGTGTGTGTCTATATATATATATATATATATATATATATATATAGACACACACATACACACACGTAATTGTAATTTTCCCTTTAAAATATCAATTACCTCTGTCATTTTAAAAAATATTATTTTTAAAAAGAGTATTGGTAAATCAAAAATACTACGTTTATCATTCATCAATATACAAAACATGCAATGCACATGCTTACGACTAATTAATAAAAAAATTAGGGAGATTCAATTCTTATTCAGTTTTTCAGGTCTTGATCTAGAACCGAGAATCGAACCGAACCCATCGATTTTCGATTCAGATATTTTTTCGGGTATTTAATTTAAGAAAAAACCACTCAACTAGGTTCGAAAGTCTTGTTCAGCCCTAGTTGGATGTGTGGCAATTCTTTTTCTCCTCATTGTCATCAGAGTTATCATTTCACATATCAACCAAATCCCAGATCATAAGAACAAGTTGAGATCTACTGTCCATTTTTTGCTGTCTATTCAATTACAAATTGATACATCATGATAAATTAAAGTTGTCTTTCACCCAGATCATAAGAACAAAAATATTCCCTATTTAATTGCAAAAAAAATAAAATAAAATAAAATAAAAGGAGAGAAGAAGAGCTCGTAATTGATTATCATATTCTATTAGCATCTACTAAGCCACTCATTCAATAGTATCATAGATTAATAAAAACGTAATACACAAGCCAAAAAGTGAGATATTGATGATACATTTGACCGAGAGAATTGAAAAGCAGTCAAGATTGTTTAATAACTAAGGATGTGTATTCATTTGGGACTTATAAAATTTTTTGAGAATTTAAAAAGTTAAGGTGTATTCAATTGAGACTTTTAAAAACTTTCTAAAAGTTTACGTGTATTTAATTGGAATTTTTATAGATTTTTAAATAATCTTTAAAAGTGACAGGATATTCAATTGATTTTTTTTAGAAATCTCTATAAATCACGAGGTATTCAAATATACGGTGACTTTTGGAGAATTTTTTACTTACTGAACTTCTAGAGACTTTTTGTAAGAAAATATAAATAGCAAATCTCAAAAAAATTCTCAGTCAGTCAGGAAATCCCGTGAGAAAGAAGTATTAAATACACAAATGAGGCAGGTTGTCGAGGAAGATGCTATTCATTTAAAAAAAAAAAAAAAAAAAAAAAAGGAATGTCATTTTTCTTTCAATTCTAGGATTTTCTCATATCTTTTTAATTGATTTGTTGTAATCAACTCATGATTATTCTATGGGCCTGTTTGGCATGGCTTTTGAAAAGCCAAAAGGAATTTTTGAAATTCAAAAGCTGCTTTTGGACCTCATTTGGCTAATTTTACCAAAATACTTTTGGTAGTTAGAAAAGTTTTTAGATAGAGCTGATTCAATATAACTTCCCCTGAAATCACTTTTGGAGTTGGAAGTGCTTTCAAATATTAGCTTTCAAACAAAAATTAAGATAACATTCTCCAAAAGTTCTTCTACAAGAAACAAAAGTAAAAGCAAAAGATATGCCAAACGGGGCCTAAATGTATACTATTACTTCTTCTTTTTTGTTAAGAACAATTTGTGTTCTTAGAAATTATGTTAATTTCGTGAAAAAAAATTGGTTATGTTGTTAGAAATTGATGTAAAAATTTATTATTATTTTACTTGTCCTAAAATTGCATGATGAGCCATGATTAGTAACTTTACTCAAGAAAATTTTATGGGCATCATGATTATCGAAATTGTTAATTAGTTAGTCAAATATATTGTTATTTTTCTGGTAAAAATTGAATTTGCAAGAGGAAAAGTTTTTTAAAGTCTTTAATCAAAGTCTACAGAAATCAATGAAAGACTTTTATTAATTCTTAACAAATCCATAAAAATTACTTAAAAGTCTATAAAATCCACAAAAGTCACCAACTTTAAAAAATCTTTAAAAGTCTAATTGAATACACACCCCTAAAAATAAGTTAAATCACATTGATCATATTATCTATTGCTACGCCATATGCACATAATTCACGAAAATCAAGATGAGGAGAAAAAATGGTCACGTATTTCTGTAGCCATAGCCTTTCCTGTCATCATCGTGTCTCGTACAATTGTCGCCCTATAGTCATCTTCCTTGGACCTCCCATAACTAGGCCTTTCATGACTTTCGCTATCATAACTTGAACTTCCATAATTGGGCTTCCTCCCAGTCCACTATACTCGAACCCTGATCTTCGTCCATATCTACATCCATGGTCCAAGTTGGGCTCCTTATATTCGCTATTCTTCTCGTATCCCCCTAATCTACTATATTCGAACCTTGATTTTTGTCCGTACTTAGATCCATATTCTGAGATGGGCTACTCGTATTCACTCTTCTTCCCAAACTTCTCGATCCATTCAATCCATATTCTGAGGTGGCTTCAAATATATATTCCTCTCATACCCAGATCTAGAGACATACTCCAAAGAGGGCTTGAGTTTGACCATATCTAGATCAACATACGAAGTGGGCATCTCATAATTGGGCTTTCGACAATAGCTCTAGATCCATGTACTAATTCAAGCATCTCATACTCAATCTTACCTCCATACCTGAAGCCATATTTGGATCCTCCAGCCGTACCAAAACCATAAGCATTCTGGTCTAGTCAAGTTGGGTCCAGTCAAGTTGGGTCCAACTTTTGTACTCATTATCTAGAGTCTCATCACCATAGGCAGATGGCTCAAAATATGAATTATATTGGGTGCTGACATAATCAAACCCATCAAGAGCCTAAGGAGGTAATGGGGTACGACGTGACCTCAGACGGTGATATTGTCCGGCTATATGTCAATTCGATGTCGCTTCCTTCCCTATATGGGGACAGATCAAATTCATTGAAATCGTCAACATTGTCATCGCACCATGGCTTTCGAATAGTAAGACATTTTTGCTTTTGAGTTTGATTTATTTGAGTGAAAATTAGGGTTTTTGTTCTCTCTGTAAAATCTGTAATCGATCTTTGTGATTTCTTCAATCTTGAGTTGTAATATGAGAGTTTAATACTACCATAGGTGAGATTGAATGATGTAATTACTAATAGAAAGAGGCAAGAAAGAAATCGAAGAAACAAATTGTTTATTCGCACATATTGT